AAGATAAACTTAAACTTAAAACTATACAGGTGGCACCATAAAGTGCATATCAACTCAAATGGCGGTTGCGTTTTTTTATAACGATCTCGACCGTTTTTACTTTTATCCCGTTGTCGATCCCATTTCCGATCCTACTCCGACCCTGATCCCAAGTCCACAAGGGAGGAAGCCAGTGGCCGTTCCGGCAGAGGACAACTCTGATGTTCAGGCGAACAGAGATGCGGTCAAAAGCTAGTACATTAATAAAAAAAATATTTCTAAATTAGACAATTGATAATAAAATAAAAAAAAATTAACGTCGAAAAATTTCATGTCATATGATTTTAAATGATAACATGAAACCAATAAAATCCATAAAATAATTCGCATAACGTAAACATGTAATTACATATTCATCTATAAAATGGAACTACACAGAAATAAACACAAGCGGAACGTGGTTAAAGCCAATCGCACAACCCCGCGAGCAATGCGCTATTTACATTTACTTATTGCGAAGCTTTTCAAATCTATTTTTATTAAACGCTGTCGAACGACAGATTAAACATTCCAAGACAGATAATGTTAATGTTCTAAAACGAAGCATTTTCATTTTTAAAACAAAAAATTATATATAGAAAGTTTTAAAATAATAAAAAACATTTTAAATGTAAGAAATGCACGAACTAACTTTGTTTTAACAAAATACATCGATGACATCTCTAAAGAACGACATCTTAAACCATTAAGATGTATTCACCAAGTCGAAAACAAGAGAGAAGTTTAATCAAATTTTCTTCCTCAGGATATTTTTACAGCTTAAATACTTTTTACAGCAAAGAGTGCACAGTGGAAACTAGTTCATTCAAAACTAACAGTGGAATTTTTCTCTCCATAGTAATATAAAATTAATTACTTGGAACATTTTCCAAAGACATTATTAAAGGAGGTAAACATTCGAGATCGCTCACGGAAAAAAATCTAAGAAATTCCTAGAATCTACCACAGGCTTAAGAAGAGTTATTGTAATAAATGAGCAGTGAATTATTTTCTACTAATGACGAATTCTTTATTATATCTACAAATACATAATATATCCTTACATTTTTACATCCTATGAGATGCGTAAGTCAGTGTGTGTGACTCAAATATATCCACTTGAGTGGGATTATAATTTTAACGTAATTGAATAATGATTATTATTTAATTACTGTACAGAGTTGTAAGGGGCCCTTTACCAAATTACAATGTCAAGGGACGCACCTCAGGCAATCATTACAGAATTACCAAAAGTTTATACGGATTTTTAAATATTCCTTTGTCGAATATAGTAAGGAGTCTTATTTTTAATTCTACCGAAACGAATTACAAAATTCTAAGAGCGGCATCCGGTAATAACTCTTGGGTCTATATTAATCTTAGCAATTCATTCATCTCGCTCTACATTAAGACGTTTTGTTCCCGAAACCTGAAACCTGTCAGATTCATCCTATAACTTAGATAACATTAAATACATGTACACTTCTATAACACGTAAATTATTTATTACTAGTTTTTGCCCGCGACTTCATCAGCGTTAGTTTCGTCATTAGTAATATATGTATAGCTGACCAGGCGAACTCTATTCCGCCTTAGACGCCATAAATAATCAGGTTTTTCCTGTTTCAATCAAACAGAATGATTGACATATTAGTTAGTTGTCAAATCTAATGTCAAAAAAAGCGTTTGTATGGGAAATAGAAAAGGGCTGTTTTTAGGGTTTTCCCGGCAATTATTCCAATTTTTCTCACCTTTTATACCTTCCCTGAACCTCCACGAACATTTCAAGACTAAGATAAGACAAATCCGTTCAGGTGTTCTCGAGTTTTAGCGAGACTAAGGAACAGCAATCCATTTTTATATATATAGAAGATAGAAGATAATATGTTATCAACAACAAAGAGACAGCAAATTAAAACGAAAGTGTTGACTTCCAGTCGATGTGTATTGATTTTATGAATTTTAATCATCCCTCATTAAAAATATCTCCTTAGTAAATAATTAAATTTCAACATTTATTAATTTGAACCCTTAAAAGCCCTGTTTAACCTTTTTAATCCTTTGGTCCATTCCTTGTATCCCTTAATCTGTCCAATTCCAATGACCGGTTATCATAACATTTGTATAATACTTGAAAAATAAAAAATATCGTAACTACGATTACAAAAATTTAAAACACTTCGTTAAAATATATATGTTTATAAGAAATTTCTGACAATAGTATAAAAGTTCTTAATCTTTATTGGGACGGATGCTAAGTGGATGTCTAGTAGCTAAACAGAGTCACTTGTCTTACATATTCCCACGTTACAAAATTTATTAGAGGTAATGCATGAATTATGTACTATAGAAAAAAGATTCAAAACACCTTAGATATAGAGTCGTTTTTCGGGTGGAGCGCAACATGTTTATAATAAGCGAAAGGCGGTTGCGGGTACATAACGTTTAACAACATAAATTGAATTGAATTTAACATATTGAAAGCTTCGAAACACATTTATGTATGGAAGAAATATGTAAAGAAAATTTACCTTACGAATTTTACTACTATGTTATCTTATACAAGAAATACTTTTAGGTAATTTTAGTGATAAATTTTATATATTTACACATACATATTTATTTTATATGAAAGATGAAAAGTGAAACAGAACTTATAACCTAGAAGCTAGCTTATAATTTGCTTTGTTCACTTATATATATTTTTATATGTACAAACTTTTAATGCTAACTTAAATACATAAATATCACACATATTAAACTTCGATCATAGCATCTTAACAATGTTTTCCTAACTTGCATACTACAAAAGTTAGATGATATTGAACAAGAATTTCCAATAAACAGAAATTTCTTCTCGTTGTGCAATATGAAGTTCATAGATAACAAAATTCACTATTTATTTCTCGTTTAAAATACCAATATGTTATTGTCAAATATAATCTTAGTCACCTCTAATAATGTTATTAAAAGGCTCCTTTGATTTTTTTGTTACAGAAAATTATAATATAATTTAATAAAGTTTAGTAAAGTTTTTAATAAAGTTTTGAAACACATCAAAAATATGCTATGTTTATTTGAAAATTTATTTAGAACAATAATTTCAGTTAATGTCAATAAAATATTGAAATATATAAAAACAAATTGGTTATAAAAAATCGCTACCGCTTATTATATTGCTCCACACAATTTTCCACAGAGTGACGCCTTTGGGAGCCTGGTCTTGAATTCCGTCCCCCAAGGGTTCGTGATGGTACAACAGGTAATGGAAATGGGTTCAGCTTTATACAGCAGCTATTGCATATTGATGCATTTCAACCGAATAATTTGATTGGTAGCGCTGAAACATGAAAACCTAGTTGAAAATACTATTAAATAAAAAATATACCGATTAGAACGAGAATTATCTAAATAGGAAGTGACTCGTTTTTTAACATTACGTTACGTTCGTTACATTTTAGCTTTTAATATCTGACATTTTATTATGACCGTGATCGTGCAAAGACAAGGTGAAACGTAACCAGGTTTCTATTTGAAAACATTTTGTATAAAAATATAGGAAAATATATTTTGAATAGCAATAAATGACTTGACTTATTTTCTAATAAAAATAAACTCGTCTCATTTCATAGGGAATATATTCTCTCGGAAACATATATTATTGAATTATATTTTAAATTCATAGTGATAAATTGCATACCTTTAAATGAATATTAGCAAACAAATTTGCTTCAAAATCAGAAGTAAAAAATGGAGTTTTAGATTTCATTCCTCTATATAAGGTAAATAAATTAAAACGTTTTCTTTTAAAAGTTAATATATAGTTATGTTATTTCTAACAAATGACTGAATAAAAATAATTGCAACGTCCATGACACTTTGATAGGAAAGTGATATTTCTTCTAGTCAATTATTATTAACGTCCAATTTCTGTTGACAGCTTTCAAGCAACACGTATGCTGTTATTAAGGTACTTTCACACTTACATTAAATACATGTGTTCCTTTATAAGAACAACAATATTTTTAAGATGAAATTATTATTTCAGCTTATTAGTTCACTTATTTGTTATTGATACAGAATTTTCTATATTACTTTCTCATATTATTTACATCAACGTATATAAAAATGAACGCTTATTAAATGTATAAAAACAATTTCTTTTGAATTATAGATGAAGTTAACACGTTGAATAAGATGATGACTAAATCCATTTGGATCCAATAATGCTATGCGGAGTTCATTGTTCTGTAAGACAGGCCACTTAGCTATTTAATACGGTAGTTAATGCATATTATAAAGATTATAAACCCTTCAAGACTATTTTATAGAACACTTTATGTACAAGAACCGTTATAATAAGGTGCTTCTAGTTACATGGCAAAGCTTTTAAACCATCGGTCATATAGGCCTTTCCATGAAAAGTGGCCACTTACCTCGTCAAACGCCAATCCAAGGGGGATACAGGCCGCTGCATGTCTTCAAAGAATATTTTGAAACGTAAAACCATCCACTTTATATGAAGAGTGTGGATAAACATTTTATTATATTTTTATAAATTATATCTTCAAAAGAGTATCATTCAAAACTCTTGTTTTAAGGCATAAATATGTTATTACGAAAAATTCTCACACACGCTTTCTGCTGTTCTGTAAGAAATTACTGATAGTGATTATATGAGTTTAATTGAAGAATTTTTCTGCGATACATCCTTTGTAATTGTGGCGTATCTGTTTATTAATCTATATTTCTTTATAAGACGGGACTTCTAGCAATCATAACTCACACTTATTGGAATCCATTCACGGACAAGTCACTTTAAAACTCTCTATTAATATTATTTCCTACAATATTTTCCAACATTCCTACGCATAATCAAATACTCAACTTTATTCTTCGTATAACTTTTTAATAGATAGCATTATTTTTTATGTCTATCATAAATAATTCGTAACAGTACCTCAAGTATCCGACATACTAATATGATATTAACATACATTATTCTGTTGTGTGTACGAGACACTCAATGTCTCTTTGAGGTTCGTGACTCCGTAGATGTCAACTTGAGGCATTTCCCCAAAGACTTTTCAAAAGCAGTTGTTGATATTGCAATAGGTTTACCCACGAATAGTATAACCGTTGTTCGCGGGAACACGACTGATGTTAGGTAAATTTGTTACTTATTTATTATACATATGGAAACTTTGTATTTTATTATATTGTATTGTCATCTTCTGGAGTATTACGTACGAATATTTCTTAGAGCTTATATTTTTATTTTAGAGATGCAGACATATTTGAATTATTCTGCAGCCTTGGTGATAATAATATTCAAGTGACAAACTTGGATCTAATGACGCCAGAAAATAAAGATATAGTAAGTGAACTAGATTTCAGAATTAGACATATCAAATCTTTGAGATTTAGAAGTAATATAATTATTACATTTATTTCAGTATTATAAATATCTGAAGGAAGGGCTTGATACTTCAGACGAAAGGACTAGTTTAATTCTGTGCAAACCAAAAGAGTGTGAAAATTTGCTTCTAGAGGTAAGGCAAATACCTGATATGGTAAAAATCATACTAAACTGATTTTTATAACATATCAACCTAATCTAGGTTACTCAATTGACATATATACATATTAAACAACCGTCCGATGATTTCTTTGCCAAGTTGTGAACCAATTTTATAATTTTATTACAAGCAGTTGTTAAGATATAAATAAAGTTTTAATATCATCAAAACATAATTTATCATAATCAATACAATTATAAATCTAATTCTTGACGTAGTCCAAGTCCAAAACTTTCTTGAATTCAGTCTACTTTTCTAATTTCGATGTCTGAAACAAGATTTCTTTTTTGTGAAAATAAGTTTCTTTAACTTATTGAAAAATTGGTTTTTTTTATAATTTGATGAACTTAAAATATTATTTTAACATCATATTAACATTATACTAATGTTATAAAACAGATTTTAGGTTTGATGCCCTCAATGTTTTTAAATGACACTATGATATAGTTATTTTAAAGGTCACAAACAATAACTTCATCCATCGTCCAATCCTCTATATATTCTTCTGGTCCGAAGGCGAGGTCCCCAAAAATTTCACCTCCTCCATCAAGGAAGCCGTCAGAGTTGCTGTAATTACAAACCCGAGGAAAAGCGTGTAAGGTTTTATTTCTTTATATTCGCTAAATATCACGCAAACCACGCCAAACACATTCCGAAGTTGAAAAAACAATGGCGATACCCAAAACAAAACATTCCTCTTCCAATAAATCAATATGGAAAGCCACATCATAAATCAGCAGAGACCATCCACTAAATTATAATGAATATATCATTAAGCTGTAATAAAATTAATGAATGGCAATGTAATTGCGCCAATAATCTCAATATGGCAACAATATCTAATTTTGTTTATATTTCCTCTTTTATGGTTATAAGGAAAACATATACCTTCAAGGATTCGTACGAAAATAATTTATGAGATATAAAATTTTCGCTGGTGACAGTGCGCAAAACAATCATTTTCAAAATTACATAAATTTGTTCTAAAATTCGTCTTTGACAAATCGATACCAACTGTTTTAAATTACAAACTATGTACTAAATATTTAAACGTCTTTCTAATTATACAACCTTATAAATATAATAATATTTTGTTCACAAGATCTTCGTCAAAATTAACATCTTTTGGAACGTTATATTAGCAATAAAATATTTAGTTTCTTCATTTGTTATTAAGTTATTTGATAAAAGTTTGTCTGTGATATTAAAGGACCAATTATAATATAAAAACTTATTATATTTAACTAAAATTTATAATTATTCAAATATTTTGGTATAATCTCTGTTATCTCGTTCGGAAAATCAAATTTCACTTGTGTCATGTCCATCACAGCAAATACTTTAGATTTTCTTTTTTAATGTTATTTTCTTTTTTTTACTTTTTCTTTGTGTAGGTGTTATACTAACTTTTAGTATCTTAATCATTCATTGAACTAGTGTTAATTTAGAAAACTTTTGATATTTACGGTAAAATTCAAAAAGTATCTTCGTTTTTTCGGGCTATACATAATGTCATCAACATCGGTCGAAAAGCTTTTACGTAACAAGATTTCATGTTAATTATTATAGTAAGCCTGAAGAATCGGGTTTCCTAGTGAAAGTGTACCTACTCTGTACTGATAGCATGAAAGAGAATAATAAAATGTAGACATCAATATGATTTATTGAATCGTAGGATAATCAATGGCAGTTTAGTCACGAAACGCCAGCCCAAACTTTTCATTGATTTACAATTTCAAACGAACATTCATATTCTACTGTAATATATTATTCATCTATCTGTCTATATCGACATAGGTTATATATTTGAAATTCACTCCCAGTACCACAGACTCCTTGATTATTGTACCGTCTTGCCAGCTTTCTAAAAATTACATTCCCAAGCTCTGGAGATACAAAGCTGCGGACACTCACGTACATTGTAATTCAATTGAATGAAACGCCGATTGTGAATTGGCCAAAACATATTTTTTAGTGCTTCGCCTCCAGAATTTCTCTATATAAATTCTATTATATCTGCAATATTTTGTTTATATAGTGTATTATTTAATTATATCTAAAAGGTGCCAAAACGACAAAATAATGTTATCTATTATTTTAGTTACCCTCACTATATAATAATTTTATTTTGTGCGTGTTTCCATTAATGTGTATGTGGGTATTAGTGAAAAATCTTAAACATTCTTTCAGTTGTCAAAATCATTTTGTGTTTAATAGGTTTCGTCTTTACTACAATCAGGCAGAACCCAATAAGCCCAGACACTTGAGGTTAGTAAATTGGTGGGCTGGTCAACTCTATAAGTCGCCAGCACTGCCGCCAGCCAATAAAGTATATGAAAATTTTCAAGGACGAATATTGAATGTACCGGTATTGCATGTAAGTATCATTTAAAATCACAAAAGATCATGTTCAAAATGTTCTTCATGCTCAACTGTGGTTTGAAAAATATATTAATATATCATTTTTGTGACTTAAATAAACTAACGATCAAGATTATAAAGCAGAAAAAATATTTTATACCACGACTTGAATATCGTCTATGTCATATAAATGGAAACAAATTTATAGTATCGTTAATAATAATTATATTAGAATAATTATTTAATTGAAAATCATTTGTTATAATACAAAAGCCCATCATTTATAATTTTAGTTATTATTTCCTAAATTAGCCACAAATTTATTATGATTAAGTTAAATTCTATTAAAGTTATATTTCATAATGTGTACCTCAATTTATATAATTCAGGCTCCGCCGTGGCACTTCGTTCGATACATGAACGATTCAACAGTCAACGTGACTGGAGGGAGAGACCACAAACTGCTCTCATTGTTGGCCAAGAAGTTAAACTTTAAGTGAGTCAGTTAGCACATTCAATATTTATACGGGTTAACATAGACTTCACTTTGTATGTATGCATTGTGCATATAAGTCACATTTTCAAAGGGATATACAAATCTAAAAAGGTGTGATATTCCAAATGTAGAAGGCATTTGAATGATAAGTAAAATAACATTTTTTGCTCAGGTTTTTGTATCAGAAATAAAATATATATTGATAAATAAAATATCTTTGTCGCAGGTATAAATACTACGATCCACCCGAGCGGAGTCAAGGATCCAGGATATCCGGTAATGGCACATTTAAAGGCACACTCGGACAAATTTGGCAAAGGGTAGGTTTATATATCGTTAAATTAGGTCCTTCAACCAAAAACAAATAAGATAGCGATGTTTACACAAAAAGAATCTCCATTTACAAATACATATAACTATCATCAAAAATTTATATTGCTTAATTCCTTCAAATAAAAAATATAAGTAACTAAACTTTTGCTATAAATATATCAGAAAGCAGACTTCTTTATCGGTGACGTTACAATGACTTGGGAGAGGATACAAGCTGTGGAATTTTCGTTTCTGACCCTAGCGGATTCCGGGGCGTTCCTCACTCACGCTCCCGATAAGTTGAGTGAAACCCTGGCTATTATAAGACCATTTCGATGGGAGGTAAGAAAACTAAATGTTACATTAATACCAGCTTATAAAAATACATGTATGATGTTTCCTTATATCCAACAAGCATTATTAAAAGTTACATGTTTTTCTCTATTCAATTATCTATACCGTTTTGTTAAAAAAGTGCAACAAACGCTCAGAATAATTCAATTATAATCTAACTTTTCACATCATATTTTGTAGCTTCGCAAAATTGAAAGCAACAATTTATTTACATATACTTTATCTTTTTATTTTATCTAGGAAAACTTTGATCAGTGTTTATAAAAGCATATCATTGTTCAGACACCACCTTTTTTAATGTGCAGCATTTAAATAATATCAAATATTTATTAAATATGTAGTTTGATATGCGAACTAAAGAAATGGCTTTGAACTAAAATCTCGACTGCTTCAATAGCATTCACTTAATACTTTACTCATCGTTATATTTTCTCCTTATGAATGTGGCTTATATAAATTATTATTATTAAAGGTATGGCCGTTGGTATTTGCCACAATCCTGGTGACGGGTCCAGCGCTGTGGGTCGTAATTGCAACGCCATATATTTGGCAACGTCGTGAACGAGACCAGATGGAACTGTTGAATAATTGCTGCTGGTTCACCACTTCATTATTCTTGAGACAAAGTCCGTATGTTAGAATAACACTGCAACATTGCATTATTAATTTAATCATGCATATTACATAGTTTACTATTGCCCTTAAATGTGAAGCACTTTATAAGCAAACTCGTCTCTCAGTTAATTGTGCTTAATCAGAAGTAATTGGTAATAACACTTTATCTTATAAAGGATTTGACCAGATGTTTTCATTCTTTATAGTAAAATTATAGAATTTTCTCAAAATAATTATATAATAATATATACCAAAAAATATTTCAGCAACTAGAAAAGAGCCTTCCACGTCAAACAAAGCTCGCCTGGTGTCCATTCTAATATCTTTGGGTGCAACTTATGTCATTGGTGACATGTACTCAGCTAATCTCACCAGCTTAATGGCTCGACCGTCCAAGGAACAAGCGATTGGTACTCTTGTAGCACTAGAAGAAGCTATGAGAAATGATGGCTACGAGCTCGTTGTGGAAAGTCACAGCTCTTCGTTAGCTATTCTACAGGTCAGTACCCAAAAAAAACCATACACATATACCATGCGTACGAATACACAACGTACGTTAAAATCAATTACAAGGGTATTACAGAATTAAAAGGGTATTACAATTACAGAAATTAAAGTAAAATGTGTGAAATATTTTAGAGTGAAACAATTGAGGTGCTAAATATTATAAAGAAACTTTTGCCACCCATATTTTTTTAATAATTTTTCTGTCCGAATTACTTCTTCTTAGTTTAGAGTATCCTAACAATCCCATTTACTCAAAAAAAGTAGTTAAATGATTTGTATTTTGTTTCTAATGGTAAATTAAAAGATTCTTTAAAATAAGTGTAAATCAGCAATTTTTTTTTCAATTTATTATACACAAAAAAAAAACAATTTCTTTTATTAGAATGGAACAGATATATATGGCCGTCTCGCTCGTCTTATGAGACGACAACGCATACAAAGAGTTAAAAGTGTGGAGGTTGGTGTTAACATGGTGCTATCAAAGAGAAGAATCGCAATCCTCGGTGGAAGGGAAACTCTGTTTTACGATACCGAGAGATTTGGTAATAATATATAAAATATATATATTTTTAGAACAAGACTTCAATATATTTTAATCATATTTCTCACGCAGGTTCTCATAATTTTCATATGAGCGAAAAATTATATACGAGGTACTCAGCTATCGCTCTACAGATTGGATGTCCATATTTGGAAACATTCAACAACGTGTGAGTATAAAATATTAAAATTATTTTCTAAGTAACCACGTAAGTAATCAGACCCAAAAAGAAACCTCTCAGATTATTAAGTTAAAAATATTTTCATATTTAAAGAACGCGCTGAGACCGCTTTTGGGATCGTCAATATTAATGTAAGCAGCTCACTCGAATAACTCCGACACTCTTAACACGCTACGTAATGGTTCTAAGAAATAACTTAATTAGCTCGTCTTACATTGAATATTACGTTAAAGAAATATCTTCCTTATAATCTTCAAGATTTTTTAATGGATCTTAATAATAATATAGTAAGTAGTACTTTAAGAAATTTTGGTGGTTTTTATTTAACACTCAAAATTGTATAACGTTATGGAGTAGAAAATAATTTAGTATAAGATGAACTGGTAAAATTTTGTATTCACACACGACAGTCAGTGACAAATTACTAACAGAATCTTTTCCATTATTCCAACATTTATCTTTTCACACAATTAACCGTTACATAAAATAAATTATAATATATATTAAGGCGACATTATATACTTTAGTTATAAAGATAATTTCTATTTTAAAACCCATTCTTTAATTTTCTTGTTATATTTAAAAGGAATAATGTTTCAAATACAAATACTTCCAGGTTAATGACACTATTTGAAGCAGGTATACTAACTAAAATGACTTCGGACGAGTACAGGAACCTTCCAGAACAATCACGAAGATCAGAAAAAGTGACGGAGAGTGAGAGCAAAGAAAACAATGACGTGACAGAGAACTCACCAACCGCTCAAGTAAGGTTTTATAATAAACTAGTTTTTGCCCGCGAGTTAATCCGCGTATTTATGTATAGCTGACCGGGCGACCTCTATTCCGCCTTAGAGGCCGTAAATAACCAGATAACGGAACTTATTAAATTATTTTTTCCTTTTCTGATCGAACAGAATAAAATATCCTATGTCCGTCTCCTGGTTCTAAACAATCTCCTCACCAATTTTCAACCATATCTCTACCGCGGTTCTATAGTAATAAATAGTGTAACTAACACCACTTTCTTTTATATAATATATAGAGATGTAAATTACGTAAAAAACGGGTACAATGTTTATATCCTATGGCCTAGATGACTTACACACCCAGTAAGATAAATGATCTCTTGAGGAACGTGTGATATCTTTTGCAGATTCAACCAGAATCCACAATCGGTTTGGAGCCTGTGTCCCTTACAATGCTACGTGGCGCATTTTGTCTCCTCGGCATTGGATACTTTATTGCAGGTGTGTTATTAAAAACATATATATATATATATATATATATATATATATATATACTTTCTACTTCAGTATGTGATTTCTTATGAAGTTTTTGGTTAGCCGAATATTTATTTATTTATTTATTTATTTTATTTGGGAAACAAACAGTAATAAAAAAAATCAATCAAATAAAACATATAAAAGTACATAAACCAAAAAGCTTCCACCAATTACAATTTCATTAGGAGCACAAAACAATAATAATAATAACAACAATAATAATAATAATAATAATAATAATAATAGTAATAATAATAATAATAATAATAATAATAACAATAACAATAATAATAACAATTTTAAGATAAATTAATTACGAATTACAAGCTTTACTAATTTCTTTCCTTATATTATTTTTTGTGCACATTGATAAATCTATATTTGAGAAACATTTGTTATATTTCTGACAGGCACGGAAAATAAAAGCATTTTGAGCATATTTAGTATTTGTTAAAGGTAGATGAAACAGGGACTGACGACGTGTATTAATTTTGGGACATCTAAAGCAAATATTTTCTAACAAAAAGGGTGAATCTATATAGTTTTGAAGGATCTTAAATAAAAACAACTGATCTCTCTCCATGCGACGGTATTCTAAAGACGGAATGTGTGACGGCAAAAACCTATAACTACAATGTTTAAAAAATTTGCGCTGAATGTTCTCTAATTGCAAAACGTGGCATTTGTATAAGGGATTCCAAACAGTTGAGCAATATTCAAGGGTTGATCTAACTAACGAATTATATAATAGAATTAATGTATTTACATTTTTAAAATCCCTACCAGTTCTTAAGACAAAACCAAGCATTCGGAAAGCTTTAGCTGTAATGTAATCAATGTGGGACTTAAAGGTTAGCTTACTATCAATGAGAATACCCAAATCTCGCACCTCGGTTACTCGTGTAATAATACTGTTGTCTAGATAGTAATTGAAATTAATAATATCTTTAGTTTTCCGAGTGAACGAGATAACGTTACATTTCCTTACATTTAAATACAGATAATTATCTGAGCAGTACTTACATAATTTGTCTAGGTCATTTTGTAGTAGTATGCAATCAGAAGTTTGAGTTACTCGTCTGAAGATCTTCATGTCATCAGCATATAGAAGAATATTTGAATTCTCGAAAACTAATTGTATATCATTAATAAATATATTAAACAGTAGAGGACCGAGGTGCGAGCCCTGGGGCACACCGGAAGATATAGGCACGAAAGAAGAAGTATGTCCCTTAATTGTTACAGCTTGACTACGATTCTCCAAGTAAGAAGACAGCCATCGAAGTAGATCACCATGTATACCGGTTTTCTCAAGTTTATGTACTAATAATGCATGTGGTATCTTATCAAATGCCTTGGAATAATCGGTATACACGACGTCCACCTGGTATCCTTGATCCATTCCAGTAGATATATGATGGACAAATTCACATAGGTTACTTTCCGTGGATTTTCTGTTTATAAACCCATGTTGCTGATTAATTAACATTGGTCTAAGACAAGAGTAGATTTGGTCATAAACAATTTTTCCGAAAAGCTTCGCTATAGTAGACAATTTTGAAATTGGCCTATAATTTTCAATATTATGCTTGTCACCGGATTTATATATTGGTACAACATAAGAGCGCTTCCAAGTGTCGGGAATAATTCCAGAACTTAACGACTTAGAAAATAATATTAAAAGCGGATACGACAAAGTTTCGCAACAAGATTTCAAAAAAATAGGCGGCAACCCATCCGGCCCCGAACCCTTGTCTATTTGTAAGGTTTTCAAATATTTCTTAATGAGGCTAGTACTAAGTGTAACAAAACCGATCGATAAATTACTGCAGCAAGAGGCATGATTACTCGATGTTATTCCTGGGGAGCTAAAGCTAGCAACAGGCTCTGCATACACCGACTTAAAATAGTCATTAAATAGCTGACATATTTTGTTACCATCACTACCCACCTCATTCCCAAAGAACATATTATCAGGTATACCAGCAGCAGCCTTTTTTAGACTTAACAAAAGTCCAAAAAAACTTGCTGTTTTTATTAATTTTTATCTCAGATTGATATATGTATGTGTCGTAACAATCAATTTGCACTTGTTTTTGACGAGCCCGTAAAAGACTGAAAGTGTCGTAGTCGGATGAACGTCCATAGATCTTCCATCGCCTATGAAAGTGCAATTTATTACGAATAATTTTGATTAATCCGCGAGAATACCAAAAGGGGAAATGTTTATCACCTTTCATAACTTTTGTTGGAACATGTTGAGATATTATAGAGTTAATAGTATCATAAAACATATCAACGGCATCGGAAATACTACAAGAACTCAATAAGTCACACCAATCAGTTCCGGCTATAATGTTATTAATTTCATCATAGTTGGCTTTTTGAAATAAGCGAATTTTACGCGGTACTGAAAAGTTCTGGGTAGTATTAGAAAGATTTAATTTAACATTAAGTGTCGGATGGTGAGCGTCTTCATTAACAAGATAAAAGTCACTAGGGCTTACTGTGCAATGAGTGTTACCAATTACTAGATCTAAGTAACGTCCGTTAACGTTAGGAACACAGTTAAACTGCTTAAAATCAGTAAAGTTTAAAAAATTAAATATGGAATCAATACCTGGGTCGTTATCATTAAAATTACGTAGATTCATAAATTCTCCAACTCTATCCCAAACAGCATTAGATATGTTAAAATCTCCAACCACTAAATAAATATCATCAGGATACAATAGTACTTCATTTGAAATAAGTTCAAAAAAATCACACAGACATTCACTATGGTAACTGCCATGAGGGAAATAACAACAATAAACATGAAATCGTCTTGATATGGGTTCCAAGTCAAGTACGATAGAGACCTTAATTATCTCGGCTGCATGATTTTTAACCACAATTGATAATGATGAACGAACCGATATGTCAGACTTCACTGCAACTAAAACGCCACCACCCATACTATCACTGCGCTTATCATAGTTACGATCATGTCGATACACCGAATATCTGGAATCAAAAAGTTCTTCACTAAAAATACCCTCACAAAGCCATGTTTCGCTTAAACAAACAATATCATAATCAACATTAATTATTTTCCTGAAAAAGGAATTAGTCTTAGTACGTAAGCCGCGTACATTTTGATATAAAATTGCAAAGTCTTTAATCACTGCAAGCACAAGGAATAAGTATCATGTTACTAGTCCTCATAAATACATTCGCAGGAGAGAGCATATTTAGGTATGTGTTAGATATTAATACCAATAATTTTTTATGTCCAAAATCGTGTCCAAAATAGTAACATAAAATAATCTGACGTCCCATAGCTGTGCTCAAAATACTTGATTCCAATAACATAATTATTAACATAAATAAAACAATATAAAATATTTGAGAAAGACATACAAAGCTACTTATACAATTTTTTTTAAATCACTAGACTTCACGAAATGCAAAACCGGACTCGTGTTAGAACGCCGGGCCATAATGCTGCAGTTTTTGACCCACACGAACTCATAACCTTTATCTTTTGCCGCTTTCTTAACAGATTGCAATAAGGCTTTATTTAGACTAGTGAGGTGGTCATTAAAAAATATTGAATTATTGTTACCATTGAAGCCTATATCACAACATTTCAGTTTTAGTTTCCTAACCGCAGACAAAAATTCATCCTTTTTCCATCTACATATAAAACGCACGATAATCGGTTTAGATTTCTTCACATCGTTTTTTTTAGAAGCGACTCTGGTGATGAAGTCAATATCCGTGTTTATATTAAATTGTAAGTGTGTTTTATCAAAAACTGTTTGTAACAACGAGATCAGGTTCTCATTTTTTCTTTCTGGAATTCCATAAACCTCAACATTAGATTTTCGGGCCCACTGTTCTCGGTTATTATTATTAAATTCAATTTCTTCCACAGAACTGCAACATACAGGGTGACTGGTGAATTACTATCGATACTTGAGGACGTGATATTTGACGATCATATATGACAAAATAAAAATTAATATAATATAAATATTAATAAACTTCTAAGTAAAGTTAACCAAAAGTTATGTAATTAATTACGCATCGTGTGAACACCCTACAGATTAGGTATATACACACACACACATAGGCGTTTGGCGGCGTGGTGTTGTATCAGCACGCCGCCGCACGCGTCCACACTTGGAACACTTGGAACGTATCCACACTTTATTTATTTATACGGAAATTTGGTCAAAAATTAAGTACCTATTTTTTTTACATAATTCGAATGAGAATCATTTACCGAGTATGCTCCTTAAATATTGATAGTAATTCACCAGTCACCCTGTATATGTAATTGATCTAGAAATTTCAATTGTATGTAACGCTTGATTGCAGCTATAGTTCTAGCAACAGAAATAGAAATACATCGTAGAAAAAGATCGAGAGCTGAAAGGATCATGGACACTTCACTTGTACCCAAATCTCCGAGAATGTATCTAAGACACTATTTAATAAGAATATTCAGAACAATGTACAACATTGTTGACGGAGCGCTGCGGCCAGAAATGAAAGAATGAAAAAAGCAACTGAACACTTTAGACCATAGTTTGAAAATACTTTCAATGTTAGTGATATATTGTATCTATCAAGTATTCATGCTTTAATTTGTCCAATTAATTATTTATATTAATAACAGTGGCTGCAAAATATAAATCAAATGTTATCCTTGCATAAGAGATTTAAAAATAACCGATGTTTTATTAAAAGGAAAAAGAAAGATCTCTAATAAGTAAAAAAAATTATAGACTTATTTATTTCGCAGACTAAATACAGACTCATGGCAACACAAGTTATAACGATCTCGCTAAACAGATATAAAGTTAATATATTCAGCAGATAACGCCTGTAGAATATGTTATAAAATCTTCATTATGAATGTAAGAACAAATAGTCTCTGATTAGCCTCCGAGGCCGTTGAAATGAATGTCCTACTAAGCAGGCTTTATATAATAAAACCATCTCAAACATAAGACTCGATTGTGAAGCTAACTTCCAAGTTTATTTTATTCTATTCGAAAAAGAGATTTTTAATCAAAAGATTTATTAAGCTGCTAATTTGTTTAAAGTCACTTCATATTTTATAAAATTCAATCCTTACATATTAATGTTAAAATACATTTTATGGTTTGAAAAAAAAGCGTTAAATGTTGCTCGGTGATAATTTTAGCTTGTTTGGTACATCGTATGTTAAACAGAGATGGGGGTTTCTACTTTATTGAATTATGAAGGCGGCGGGAACTCGCTAATGAAGTTAATATGGTCAGGATCTACATCCCACATCTCTCAAAACCTAATCTACTTATTGATATCAGTTTTAGAACAAACATTAGCATCGAATATATTAGTCAAATATATTGAGATGGACCGAAATTCAAAGCTGGTTTAATCTTTAATTTAATCTTTAAAATTTTGTTTGATACTTCATTGAACATGTCATATTTTAAACCTAAATAATTGCTAGTGTGACTTTATAATTACATTAAGGTCGTACTAAGACGGATTACTAGAACAGAAGTTTGCGGTAGAGATTAGTCTAGTTGGTTCAATCATCTATACATACATTATACTACTACTTAAACAGCTTAACACTTACAATATATACAGTATATAAAAATACATAAAAGTTATTAATAACGACATACATACATTGGAAAACAAACCGTGCTTATATACATATTATTTTTTGAAGTTGATGGCAAAATGTTTTAAATTTTTATATTGCATTGATAATAATTTGATAGTATTGAAGAAATATAATTCTTAAACAAATCGTTTCTTTTATCAGCTGTTTATCACATAGATATTCATCTCTATTTATTTCATCCCAATCTATTTGAATATATAAAGACAAGCTTGAAAAGTAAAAATTAAAATAACTACAAAGAATTTCATGATGAGTTAATGAATTATAATCTGTAAGTAATATTACGTACCTTGATTTTCTTATCCATTTCTGATATGTAATCTGCGTTGTTAATAGTTCTTCATATTAAAAAGGTGAACTCAAAATACTAATAACCTAAGAAATAACATTAAGTGACTCAAAGACTTCCGCATGATACTCTCAGTGACTCCAAAATCTCTATTAAATTCAAGAAGTCACCACATTAAATACTATACATATAAAATAATAATTCTATATTTTTGTTATATATTTCATTAAAAATAAATTATATTTTCCACCGTATTTTAATGTACAATGAAATTATATGCTGTATTCATAGTTTGTGACAATGCTTTACGTCACGAATGAATCCTGTCGCACAGAATACCTATTCAGAAGCAAACACCAACTTTTAAATAGAAAAAGTAAAATATGTCTTTGAAATGGAAGCTTAGTATAAAAAAAACACATAATTTTTATAACATTTTTATAAGGTCAACTTTATGTTATATCATTCGACATTTATTAGAAGTATAAACAATATTTTTCTACTACATATTATTTTTAAAAAGATTTAAGTAGATATTTTTGGATTTTAATATTAAACCACAACCAACTTTATTACTTATTACTATTAAGAGTATCAACATATTAATAAATATTTCTTTTAACTTCGAGTATACAGAACAAAACATAAATAACACATATTTATGACGAAAATAGCTCAATAAAATACCTTAATTTTAAAAGCAACGAACTAAATTAAATTATTAAAGCACACATAATAATAAGAAAATATCGTGTGTAACACAAATCCGCGTAAACACAAAAAAAGCAAATAAACCAGTTCCGCGCTGGTCCGCTTCGAGCAAAATTGTTCCTGAACTCGCTTTGTGCTGTGTGAATTCACAAATGCAGTTGATTTATGATTTTGATTAACGGTTTTACCTTGCACATATGAAAAACTTTTCCCACCGTGATTTGGAAAGTTATTAACGAAGTTGAGAATTTAAAATCACAATATAAAGCATTAGTATTGTTAGCAACATTTCAATATAGCAGGGTTCAAACATCTGCTTTAGTTAGTTCTTAACTAGGGCAGTTAAATAAGTTAAGGTTTAAGCTACAAGAAACTCATTATGTATTACCTGATAAAATCTTTTGGATGTAACCGAATAAGTTTCTTATTGAAGATATGACGTTCCTATTAAGTAAAGTACATACATATGTAATACATACATACAGACTGTTTAAGTGAAATATTATTGATGATTGCAAATAAGTTTTTTATTATCACATAGCCCCAGAACAACGAATCGCTAGAGTTACTTAAGTCTTGGTAGAAACCAAAAAATGTATATTTACGGAAATACATAGCTATTGACATACAAGGCATGTTTGTGAAAAATCACTTATACAATTACAGAAATGATTGAACTTAAACATAAAAAGTCAATTCAATTAATTATTAATTAAATAAAAATAATAATCGTTACCGTTTGTAACTTACGACCAGCTTCCCCCAGCATTCAAAGCTTAGACATAGCGAGCGTGGATGAAGTTTGATGTTGATCAACACCTGAAAATATTTAGATATATTCAGTTCTGTGCAATCCGGTATTGTTGTAATTTGCTTAAACTTCTATATCTAATATTTAATTACCACATTTATATCATATATTTAAATAATACTAACACGTATTATTTTTATTGATAAAGAAACTTTAATATACTTGTTATGGTATTAAAGTTGTTATTGTATTGCAGGACGATTATGTTTTTTAATGAAAACCACGATACGTGTTCACTGATACGTTGTTTATTTGCGACTACTTTAAGATTCAAACAGATCGAGTACATTATGGTCAAAGTAATAATTTGTTTATATATGCATTAAAGAAAGACTCAACATTCCGCCCACCAAAAGGACTATCAGGTCCTTTTACAAAAAAATCTAGACAAATGCACTTATATATATGTAAATATTAAATATGTACCAAATTAAGCAAAAAATTAAGCAACCAATTATGTACAATGGCAGTATGTTATTTAATTAAATCAATTAAATTAAATAATACAAACAAGTACCTAATCGTAAAAAAAAACAATACTAAGAATAAAAAAAATAATAATAATAAAGTTATTAAATTACTCAGTGCTGCTAATTGGAAAATGACAAAGTTTCGTGATTGATCTTTTTACCACATTATTACCAGATTTTACGCTGTATACTCTCGTACATCCATCTTCACCAGGATGCTTATCCACAATACGTCCCAATGACCATTTGCCGGGAGGCAAACCATCGGTCTTTATCAAGACTATATCGCCTATTTTTAATTCCTCAGTCCTTTTTAGCCATATAGGACGTTGCTGTAATCTCGAGAGATACTCTTGTTGCCACCTTCGCCAGAAATCACCGAGCAACTTCTGTGTATATTGCCATCTTGATAGATTATGTACCTTTGAATCCTTAAAGTCTGGTGAAGGTACGACAATTGTTGGTTCTCCGATTAAGAAATGGCCAGGAGTAAGAGGTTCTATTGAATCTGCATCTGTACTGTCTATAGGACAAAGCGGACGGGAGTTTAAGCAAGCCTCAATTTGGCACAACACCGTGGACATTTCCTCAAAGGTAAGGTTGTTGGTCAGTACTCTTTTTAGGTGGTATTTCACTGATTTCACTCCAGCCTCCCATAAGCCACCGAAGTTTGGTGTGTAAGGTGGTATAAAATGCCATTGAGTTCCATCTAATGCCAATTCGTTGGCTATGTCACCGTCGAATATAAGCTTAGCGTCCTTCCAGGCTGTCGCTAATTCCTTATTAGCTCCTACAAAATTTCTTCCCTGGTCACTCCATATGTGTGTGCATTTCCCTCTTCTAGATATGAAGCGTTTGAATGCAGCAATAAATGCTTCGGCACTCAGATCTCCTACTAACTCTAAGTGTATGGCTTTAGTTGACATACAAACAAAGACTGAGATGTATGCCTTCTGAAGTTTCATACCTCTTCCCTTTGACATTAATATTTGTAAGGGCCCGGCAAAATCCACCCCACTATGTAGGAAAGCCCGGGTAGGAGTTACCCTTTGTTTGGGTAGGTCTCCCATGATCTGAGTCCGGAAAACTGATCTCTGTCTTGCGCATATCAAACACTTGTGGATGCATGTCTTCACTAAACCCTTGGCTCGTATAATCCAATATTTGTTACGTAAGTAACAAAGCATCAGTTGAACGCCTCCATGCAGCGTTCGAGCATGTGCATCGGCAACAATCAGGGTAACTAATTTACTTTTGTTTCCTAAAATTATAGGGTGTTTAGCTAGTTCATCTAAATTCGCATGCCGAAGGCGACCGCCCACCCTGAGGATATCATTTGTATCCAGGTAAGGATTGAGTGTCTTAATAGTACTGTCTCCTCTTACAGCTTTGTTCCTTTTTAATCTATCTATTTCATTTGTAAACTCTTCATTTTGTACTAACTTAATACAGGACGAAAGTGATTTCTCTAATTCTTCTGTTGTAAAATTTTCATCCACTTGCTCTAAGCTTCTTTTAAAATTTAAAAATCTTCGACAGTAGGTAATAGTTTTTAATAATTCCTTTAGACATCTAAATTCCTCTATTTGTGA